AGAGGAGAGGCTCCTACCCAACGGGGCGCCCCTGGGGGGCAGCTCGGATCCTCCCACCCCCGTCTGGCCAGGGCTTGCTGTGATGACCCCCTTTGGTTGGGGGTCCTCAGGACCCCTTCAGGACAGACAAGAGGAGGCAGAGGCCCCAGCGTGGTGTGACCCTCCCTTTCCCGGGGCGGGGAGGGTGCTTAGGCTAGGGGCTTCTAAGGGTCCTCCACACACCACACTGGGCTGAGCTGTGACCTGCTCTTCTAGGATGGTGACCTGCCTGTAGGACTGTGTCTGAGAGAAGGAGAGTAGACTTTCTTCCCCTCCCCTGGTCAGACACCGTGCCTGAAATCCCACCATTCCATCACAAAGCCTCAGTGTGGGGAGGGCCCTCCCAGGTCTCTGGTCCAGCACTTACCTGAACAAGCATCCTCTCCACAGCACCCCCAATGGAGAGTCACCCATCCTGTGCTTGAATACCTTCAGGAAGAGGGAGCTCACTACCTCCTGAGGCAGCCGGCTTCATTTTGGGTCTGCTCCCCGCAGGGGAAAGATTACCTTTGCAACAAGCAGAAATTCGCTTCTCTGCCCCTTCTCCAGGCTCTGCCTCCAGGGTCCGAGTGGAACCCGGTTAATGCCTCTTCTATGGACGGTTCCGGGTCACATCCCCGGTCCCCTTGGTTGATCTTCACAGGCAGTGAACTCTCAAGCCCTCCCCCATTCGGTCCCCCTCACGTCCAGTCAACATCCTTCTTACACTGGGCTGCCCAGAACTGAGAACAAGGGGGTCAGCCCGGGGCAGGGAATGGCAGGATGGCGGTCTCCCTGGGAGTTCTGGGCAGCCTGGTCCCCTGGCAGCCCGAGACTGAATTTGGGGGAATTCCTTTGGGCTGAAAAGAGGATGTGACTCTGTGTCCTGGGACGGACATTTATCAGTTCACTTCTGGAGAGTAGATGGCAGAGGGCTTGGTATTGTGGGTGCTAGAAAGGGGAAGAGGTGAAAGGACGCGGAGAGAGAATGTCCACAGCTCATCTGTAATCAGATGATGTCAGAACTGGTGGGGACCTTGGAGGACATCCAGTCCAATGCCCGCATTTTACAGGTGAGGAAACTGAGGCACAGAGGAAGAAATGTCTCTTCCAAGCTCCCACGGGCATTAAATGTCAGAGACGGGTGGACCCTGTGCCTTCTGCTCTTCCCCTTCCCTGTTCAGTCCCTCCACACTGGGAGGGGCCTCCTGGATCCCCTGCTCCAGCCTCCTCAGCTTACCGGAGACAATCGCCCCTGCATTCCCCACCTGGCCACCTCTGGTAATTCTGGAGCTGGCTCTGTTAGCAGCTCCTTGGAGGAAATGTGACCTGCTTGGAGTCTAATCCCCTGGCTGGAGGCATCTGGCCGCTTCTGCCCAGCCCTGGCCAGCCTGCTTCAGAATAGAGCCCCTGGGCAGCAGACAGGCCAACAGGGTGGTTGGGGATGGGCTGAGAAGAGAGGGGCAAGGGAATGCGCATTTATTAAGCTCCTACTATGTGCCTGGCACTGCCCTAAGTGTTCTACAGGTATTATCTCATTTGAAACCTTTTCCTTCTCGTGCACCCCACCCACAGCCATGATTTCCATCCTTACCATGCTTTCCCTATAGCCATATTATTACAGGTGAGCAAACTGAGGCTCAGAGAGGGGGAGGGGCTGGCTTAGCAAAAGGGGCACACGTGAGAACTGGGTCTTACAGTCTAAGATCATAGCTCATCCTCTGCCTTGAAGTTCAGAACAGGGGGTCCTGGGGTGACACTGGCATCAGGGACCCTCCCCAATGACCATTTATCGGTAAACCTTAAAGCACTGTTTTTATCATTATTACAGGGCATCTCAGGACCTTAGCTCTCAAGACAGAGGGGAACTCAGAAGCCATCTCATTTTACAGAGATATAGTGGTGCCTAGGTCACCTGCAATTTCAACTGTGCTCTTCTGACTCCAGAGCCCACATTTGTTTCCTTGAACCATGTGACACCGAATGGAGCATTGTGGGCTTCCCCCTCCCCCGAACTGGGGCCCCTAATGTCCTTCGGCCCTGATCCTGGCCCTCCTGGGAGCTGCCTCCTTGCCCAACAAAGCCCTCCAGGCTCCAAAGGGAGGCCGGCAGGGGGAGGATGAAGGACCCTGGGAAAAGTGCCAGTCTCTACACACCTGCGCCCCGGTCCGGAGTCCCCAGTTAGCTGCCCCCTGGCTGGCCTGCTCTCTTGGGGCAGGAGGGGCCACTCCAGGATGGCCCTGAATGTTGGGAAGCCGGTCAGTCCAAGCAGGAAGCCAAAGCTTCTTCTTCAGGTTTTGCCTCTGCGGGGCACTGAACACGTGGGCTGGGTAACTTCCTGAATCTTGTTGGTTGGGAGAGAGCTGGCAAAGCAGCTTCACTGGGTTGGGCCCTGTGACTCACTCCAGCCTAAGGAGCTGGTTTACCAGGAGCTCATGAGCTGAGCTAAAACAGGGACTGAGTCATTAGACACAATAAACCTACCACGTCCCCCACGGGCCAGATGTTGTCCCTGAAATGCCCATCCACCAGGGTCTTCAGAGGCCTGGCAGCTATCCAGCCTGGCGAACAGACAGATCAGGTTGTGGGATCAGAGAAGCACAAGCCCCAGTTTGGGCTTGGAGGGACCTTGGACACACTGCCCAAGCCCCAGCTGTGCTTGGCAGGGCCAATTCAATTCCAAGGCATTTCTAGAGTGTGTGTTCACTCTACGTTAGGCATCGTGCCAAGGGATGAGTATACAGAGACAGAAATGAAAGTCTTTCCCCTCAGGGATGTCTTTGTGTGCCCAGCACCCAGCATGGTACTCAGTACACAGTAGGTGCTTAATAAGTGCTCACTAAGTTGGATTGGAACATCTTAGAAATCATTTATT